ATTTTTTTACGAAAATGTGGAGTGAGGCAATCTTGAAATATTAACATGTAGCGTTTGTTTCTAATACATTCTACAGGGTGTTGTAAAATTAGATGAAAAAACACAACTTTATAGGTAATACCACAGTATAAAGAGGTTCCACAGTAAAACCACTCGTCTGTCGGCACTTTGATCTTAGGAAGTAATACCGGCAAAGTACGAAATTGGTAATCCACCACCGTTAACCTTACAGAGCCGTATTAAAATTTTCTGAGCCTACTACAATTAATTTATTTAAATAAAAAATGCGGCTTCCCATATTTAACTGTCCAGATGTTCTAACTAAATGTTAATATTACAAAAACAAAGGGTTTAATAAATTAAAAACAATATTATAATTCATTGTTTATATTTTTCAACGGTATTTTAAATATCAACGGTATTGCGCATGTTTTAAAATCTCAATGGTTTTTAATATATTGTACATGTCATATAAACGTTAAATAAAAAGGAGGTGAATTTGGTTATATCGGCGATTTTTTGTGTTTTCTGCATTATTCGTTTAGTTTTAGTTGTAGTCTGCAAAAAATTAATTAAATTTTGCAATAGTCTTTTCGTCAAATCGAATTTTAGCCACAAATTTAAATAAAAAAAAAATTCTCTTCGTCTTTCTTATTTTTAACAATTTCAACATTTTTTTAATAAATTAAACGAATATCAACTATGCTAATTCAGAAATAAGCTACAATTTAACTTGAAAAAATAATTTTATTAACGTTTCGTCTTCCAAGTCAGACGTCGTTGTCAAAATACAAAAATTAATTAATATTTTGTATTTTGACAACGACGTCCGAATTGGAAGTCGAAACGGTAATAAAATTATTTTTTCAAGTTAAATTGTGTTCTAGTAAGGACGTGAGGAGTCAGATCAACAAAGCATCTGCATTGTCAGGATGTCTGCCGGAGATAGTCTAGTCAAATCTATTTTTAAGCCATAAGTAAATACAGTGATCAAAGGAGAATGAGTTTTTAAGAAAATTATGTCCAGTGTTATCATTACACAATATTATCCACTTTCAGTAACATTTAGGTTGTATGAATTAGAAATCAGTCTTAAGAATAAGAAGAATACTTCGCCAGGAATAGGAATATATGTACGTTATATTATGTTGAAAAATTTATATCAAAATAGAAAAAGAACACTATTAAATTGTTTTAAATCAAGAACAAATCAAATCAGAAGATATTTCAGATAGTTGGAGAAAATACCGGTGATTCCTATTCTCCTCCTAAAAAAATGTGGAACTTGGACAATATATGGCAAAATAGCACTTGAAATAAATATAGAGCTGCATAAGAGTTTATTATATTATAGAAGAAGTAATTATCAAAAAAATACATTATAAAACTAAATTATGGATTACTTAACTAACTAAATTATCAAAAAATATAAAAAGGATTATTTATTAGAAATTAATGTTAGTATTAGTTTACGGATAAAATTGTATACAAAACATGACTTATAAGTGTAAAAACAAAAATTAAAATTTGAGAATGGATTTAGTGTCCGCAGTTATATAAACCCAAACAAACCACAAGTTTTAAAGCTAATTATGTTTCCAAATTATTTATTTCCTATGTCCTTTTGTCTTAGATACTTTATAATTTCTATTAATTGTTTTTAATGTGTAATATATTCTTATTCTAGCATATAATCTAATGAGATAGCCCTTTGAAAAATTGCTGCAAGGATGCGTATATGGTATTTTTTCGAATAAGCTAACGTAGTTTTGTAAGATTTTCGGTTGATGACTAAAATTTTAAAAATTCTTTTAAAAAATAGTTTCCAAATCTGTAACATACTGCACAAAATTTTGGCTTGGCATATAGAGCTTGCCAAAAACGTTTGTTTCATTACCACTGTAGGCTTTAACGTAACAAAACAGAGACGAATCGTGTAGTTCATCGTACTCTCTCCCATATGCTTCACAGATTAGACAAACATGTTTCCTAAGACACTTTTTTATTAAATAACTGCATATATATCTTGTGAAGTTTTTCTGTAATTTATTTGAAGTTTGATATTTTTGGTCATCCAAAGTGTTTTCAGGAACCAAAGCAGTGGTTTCAGGCAGATAATCGTCGGTACATATATCGGTTAAATTTAACAAAATATGGCCTGCATCTCTTTCGCAATTTTCTGTACCGGAATGCATCATGTCTAAACAAAAATATCTTTTGAATGCTGCGGTAAATTATACTGGAGTAGGGTTAACACAATTGCCACCTTGCTGCTTGATTGAACCAAAAAAGGTTTCTAGCGAATCTTGATTCATCCGCCTTGTTAAAAAATAATCCATTCCATGTGACTGTAGTAGATTCCACAAATGAATCACAATAAACATATTTTATTCTTGGTGTTACATTTTTAGCTATAAAATTAATTACCTGTAAATTATTAAACAATCGGAAACACGTATTAAGAAATTCTTGCTAAGCATCGGTTCCTCTATACGGTCTTTGGTACTCAGTTGCTCCTCTTAATGAAGAAGAATTGAGCATATCAAATAAATTATTAATGTTCCTAATAAATCTTTCGGTTGTTGTTGCTTCCTCGACGAATACAATAAATCTAATATACAGATGCAGACCGACAGCAACAGTGTTACTAAATACCTGAAAAGCATATTTCACTTTCATATTTTCAAAATTGTTAGGAGATATAAGTGATTCGGTCAATTTTGGGGCTGTACGTATAGGATATTGTTTATCACGTTCGTAAAATTTTTTAATAAATTCCTAAGAAACGATAATATCATCAATAAGAAATTTGTTTCTTAGAAAGTTATTACGAAGTGTTCTTAATAAATGAGGTGTATCAAAAGAAAAGACAATTTTATTGTTTTCATGATAAAAATATGGTCTATCGGCAGATATATTTAACAAATTTGGAAGTTTAAGATTATTAATACCCCTTCGAATTTTACTCATGTTCAACTTCACAATACTAACAATTATTCACGAAACTAACTCAGTTTAAGCAAAATACGGCACTGTTAACCCGTACGTTTCTACGCGACTAGCAACGAAAGAATGGTTCTCGAGCGACTAAGAAATAAGCGCAGTCGCTCTGCGCGTTGACAGATTTTACTTCCAATTTTTCGGAGAGTGGTTCTACTGTGGAACCTCTTTATACTGTGGTAATACGTTGACATTTCTCAAAAAATATTATTATAGTAATTAATTAGAAATATATCTATAATGTGAAAAATAAATTATCGAAATCAAATTAAGGGTTCAAAAGAAATATAGTTTCAAAATCGTGGTCCATTTTAGATGGTGCGTTAATTTTGGGGAGTAGTATATATATTATATATATATATATATATATATATATATATATATATATATATATATATATATATATATATATGTATATATTTAAATGATTTTTCACTTTAACCTTATGGTGGCTCGACTTCCTTCTCCGTAAGTATTATTCCCTTTATTCGCAGATATGCATTATCTAACCGTCCGCGTCCCCATCATAATTTTCTTTGCTTAGAATTTATGTACTCTTCCATTTTGTTTTTAATTGGTATCATACCTAGACATCCCGTAATAAATTAAATCATAGAGGAAGTTTTCTTGTAGTAATTTAAAGTGGTCTTATCTAATTTACCGTTTAGTGTAAATGTATTAATATAATGATATAATAGTATTAATATAAAACACATTCATCTCCTTGTATTTCATTTATCCCTATCTAATTTCACTGCATCATTACGCAGCTCCATCTATTTTCCTATTACTATGGGCTAATGTTCTCAGGAGAATCTCAAGAGAGAATTAGTTTGGATTTTTTTTATTGTTTTTGATTAATAAAAATATTTACCATATTTAACGATTGTTCTCTTGCGATATTACTTGACACATAGTTAAAATTTAACAATTTAACAGAACATTTAGGAAAATACTTTTTCCTGGTTATGTCTTTAAAATATAGCATATTTTTCTCTTTTAAAATAAAATAGTCAATGAATGTAAAGGGTGTCTCAGAGTAGAATTTAGTTTTTAAATCAATAAAACTCTGTTTCAGAACCTGTTAAAAAAAACATTTATTACGAAAATAGACACACAAAACATGCGGATTTTATTTCTTAAAAAAGACGTCTGTTAGATGTTGACCATCTCGCTCGTAGCACTCTTGCAATCAGGATCGCAAATTGATAAAGACGCGCTCACACATATTTACTGGAATGTTGTTAATAGCGTTACGAATATTTTGCTTCAGCTCTTCGATTGTGGCTGGTGGATTAGCGTAGACGAATTTCTTTAAATACCCCACAGAAAAAAATCTTAAGGAGTAAGGTCAGGAGACCTTGGGGGAAAACGAATATCACCATTTTGTGAAATCATTGTGCCTGGAAACATTTCTGTTAGGAGGTTTGTTGAATTGCTCGCTGCGTGGCGTAGCATCGTCTTGCTGGTACCATATATTGCCTGGATTTGTCCTTTAAAATACACTGGATACTAGCACGAGGCAAATTTAGGACTTGTGCATGTCTGCGAAGTGAACGCCGAGGATTACCATTGACAGCACGTCGAACTCTTGCAACATTAACAGAAGATCCAATAGTTTTTGGTTTTCCTGGATGTTTCACATTTGTAACAACTGCTTCTTCTCTAAATTTCTTTACTCATGCGTGCACTAATATCACGGACGGTACATCACCCACGCGTCTAATATTGTACCGTACACAAAAACGCCGTCGAGCAATTGTCTATTAATCGTTGGCTTTAAAATACGCCTCAAACATGTAGGCACGCTGCATTTTCGTCCATTGTTCCATGGTAACTGAAATCCGCACGTGTTGGCTACACGGATGACATATCGTTTACATGGAATTTCGAACAGGGTCGGCGTAAGGTAACTTTAAATACTAAAATCTACTCTGAGGCACCCTTTAAAAGTGTTAAAAAACAATTGAAAGTGAATAAAACACTCTTTATATTTTCAGATCAAACCTTATAAAACTTGCATTATTTTCGTGGACAATTCAGGATATGACTTCGTCCTTGGAATCCTTCCATTGGCAAGAGAACTTCTTTCACAAGGAACAAAAGTTGTGCTAACAGCTAACAGCTACCCAGCATTAAATGACGTAACATTTGAAGAACTGAATATATATTGTAAAAAAGCGGCGGACTACTGTAAAATATTTGAAAGAAGTTTACGTAATGGAAGATTACTTACTGTAGAGAATGGACAGAAAGGACCTTGCTTAGATTTAGCTGATTTATCGGCTGGTAGGTTTCTATAGTTTTATCTCGTAATTTGTATATATTTTTAATATGTTACCTCAAGTAAAAGTCTAGTGTTAGTTACCTAAAAAAATCAAGTATACATTCTTTTTAAAAGGAGATTCGTTAGTAATTTTAATTTCGTTAGTCTTTCAATTTCATTATTTTAGAATATATTGGAAATCGATCTTCAGTTTCTTTTTCTCTTTTTTATGGCTTTTCTTTAAAATGTTTTGGTAGCATAACTTTCGCGGTCTACGGACGGAGCGCTGCAACGCGCCTCTGTGGATCGCATAGAGGTGTGAAAAAAATAAATCCAATAGTAAATATTGAAGCGACTTTAACGACAGTAGAGAATGTAACTACATCGCGCGACCAAACACTACGTGGAGTAGTAAACGCACTTCCATGCGTGTGTATTAATAAAATAAAATAAAAATAAATTAGAATCGACTGAAATCGCACTGAATCGATTGGAATCGAATCGATCGGACTCGAATAAAATCTAATGGAATTGGATTGAATCGATTGGAATCGATCGATATCGAATCGAGTCGGATGGAATTAAATATATTGGTATCGAGTTGATTGGAACCGAGCGTAGACTATAAGAAAGCTATTCTTCGTTTTCTCGACCACCCCCGGAGTGCCACATCGCATTTTTTTGCCAATTTTTATTCCATTCAATAAATATCAATTCTTGAGTTTCGAGTTTCCTAAGTCTATTTCGCTATACGTTTGCTGCACCTATTTTTCTAGCATTATGGTCTACACCATCCTTCCATTAAGTTTTGGTCTACCTTTTCATCTACTTCCCACTGGCTGTTTGATTTCTTCCGGTATGGAGTGGTCATTGATCATCAGGGAGTCAGGGAGCTTAATAAGGTGAATAAAATTTAGGTTTAATATATATATATATATATATATATATATATATATATATATATATATATATATATATATATATATATATATATATATGTATATATATACAGTGTAGGTAAAAGTTTATGGTCGGTATGGTAAAATTTAACAGGATATCTAACACAGATATAAAATCATATTTTCAGCGAATAGACAAAGATAACAATCATATTTTCCCTTGGTCTCCCCTCCATAAATATTTTTAACACTCATTGGTCATTCGTGAGACGAATAGTTCCGATCAGAGATATTTTACATATTCTCTGGTTCCGATCCTAATATACCTAAAAAACTAGAGGTGGATCCTCTCGTTTTTTAAATTTTTCTCGGAACCGTTTTTCGTAAACTCTAACTAGTTGATTGTTTACCAGTATTCAAATTAGCGAGTACACAAACGTATTGGCTATTATCATTTATGTGTATAAGTATTGAAGTGAAAGAACCTAACATATAGTTAGGTAATGCCTAATACAAATAGTACTTACATTTACATTACACATTATTAAATCGCGAATCGTCTAAATTGACATTAAGTGAGAGCGCCCACCAAAGTGGCGTGGCAAGTAGCAAGTGGCAAGTAGCACACGTCTAGCATGTTTCTTAAAATGTAACCAATGAAAACGAATGATTCAGCGCACACCAAAATGACAGTGACGTCATTCATTCTAATCATTCGTTTTCATTGGTTACATTTTAAGAAACATGCTACACGCGTGCTGCTTGCTACGTGCTACTTGCCACGCCAGTTTGGTGGGCACTCTCCCTTAAAAACAAGTTTTTCCACTTTTCTTGTTAACCGTGTTCTTCTTTTATTTAAAATTAAACCAGATTTTTATAAGATATTACGAGTAGAAAATCTATTAGTATAAGATATTTTTGTGGATCATCTAGAAACAAATATTTCAAAATATCTGGTCTTCAAACAGTTTTTATTTTGGTGCAAATAGTAGACGATGTACGTGTATGTTTTACAGAAACTAACGGGCAACTTGGTCAATTCTTATTGTATATTAATTCCCTCCCTAGTCATATTGAACTTATAATAGAAACAGAACAGAATCAATCCATAAATTTTCAAGAAAAATTAAAAATTATCAGATTTAAAAACAAACACGTATTCACAAACACAAAAGTCTCCGTATTTTATAAACCTACCCATACTATATACAATTCATAATCGCATTCTACACGAAATAAAGTGGCAAACTAACATAGCATGTTACATAGATTAATCGAAATTCCCAAATCAAAAAACAACTTCAAAATAGAATTATATATCATTAAGCAAATAGCAGTAAACAGTGGGCAGATCGAACAAACAACAAATAAAATTTTAAATTAAAAACTACATAAGAAAGCCCTAAAATTCCCTAAAATTCAAAAGACATAAAAAGAAAGGAATAACACCTGATTTTAGAACAAACAGGAAATAAGGCAAATATATTAAGACCAACAAGAGCCAAAAGAAAAAGAACTTACACAAACTTGTAGAGATTGCTCGAAAACTTACATCGGTCAAACTGGTAGAACTTTTAACCAACGTATAACAGAACATAAAAGGGAACAAATAACCTACCAAAAATAGATCACTTGAAAAAGGCACTCTGCCGAAACAGCTGTAGTGATAAAAAATTAAAATAAATTTTGTTAACAAAAAATTATAATAAAGTTTTGAAAACAAACTTCTAACCAACGTATAACAGAACATAAAAAGGAACAAATAACCTACCAAAAATAGATCACTTGAAAAAGGCACTCTGCCGAAACAGCTGTAGTGATAAACAATTAAAATAAATTTTGTTAACAAAAAATTATAATAAAGATTTGAAAACAAAAGTTCCATCAAGTAACGGTTCATAAAGGAATTCATCATTTAATTAAGATTGTTGTTATGTAAAATATTAACAAAAACACACAATATTCTATCTAGTTGACTAGACTTTGAAACTAAACTTGTTTAAAGTTTACCATTGGACTATTTTTATAGTACCTTTGCTTTGTTACTATTACAAAAATGATTTTTTTAGGATGAACGTACTGATATTGCTTTTGTGCCAGAAGTATGTAACAAAAATTTTCCCCAAGAATTTATCATCAGCAATTCCCAGATAGACGACAATCAGGAATTGGAGCTTTTTAAAGTTTACTAGAACAGTTTCAACGGACTGAACAAGTAAATAACGAAAAATCCGATCGAACAAAAACTATTATTAATGAAGTTAAATATAATCCTTAGTATCACTGAGAATCCGCATATTAGTACGAGGGAAATTGCAAATGCCTGAATTTAGTCGTTGTAGTTTACGGAGAATTTTAAAATAGAACAATATACATCCATATCATTTAAAATTGCACCTATGCTTAAGCCTAAAAGCTTAATGAGAATAACTATAATAAAAGAATAAAATTTAGGTAAAGAAATAATAAATAAGACTTACTCACAATCAATTTAATTTAACTATCAGACGACCGGTTTCGCTTTCTACAATATGCAAAGCATCTTCAGGTCTCGATACAAAGTTAAACAAATGCTGAAATGATAAAAACCCATATTAGGGTGTTGTCTAATAAAGATAAACAAATTAGATGTTATAAATTACAATAATTATGTCAATATTACATGTCTGTGGTTTTATTTAAATGAGTAAGTTGAATAAAAGGTATACATTTTTTTTTAAAGGTTAAACAGACATGGTAAGGCCCACAAATTGTTATAAAATAGTCTCTTCGATTGTAATCAATTAATAAATGAGCAAATAAATAAAATAAACATTACTTACATGCCGGTACTCTATTAATAGATGGATGGTAGATGTTTGAAACTACTTTATATTGTTGAATGGAGAACTCAATACTATTATTGCAGTTGTTTGACAGTAAACGGGAAGTTCTTGAGGAGATAGATTTGATCCAATGAATTTGAGATATGTGTGAGATTGTTTGTTAAATGTAAGTGATGTAATATACTATTGTGTTATTAAAGGCTATTTATACTTATTTCAGAGATATATTTTTGAAATGTGTGTTATTTATTGAGTAATTGTTTTTAAATGAGTATTGAGTAATTGTTTTTCATAAAACAATTACTCAATAAATAACACACATTTCAAATATATATCTCTGGAATAAGTATAAATAGCCTTTAATAACACAATAGTATATTACATCACTTACATTTAACAAACAATCTCACACATATCTCAAATTCATTGGATCAAATCTATCTCCTCAAGAACTTCCCGTTTACTGTCAAACAACTGCAATAATAGTATTGAGTTCTCCATTCAACAATATAAAGTAGTTTCAAACATGTTCTACCATCCATCTATTAATAGAGTACCGGCATGTAAGTAATGTTTATTTTATTTCTTTATTTGCTCATTTATTAATTTATTACAATCGAAGAGACTATTTTATAGCAATTTGTGGGCCTTACCTTGTCTGTTTAACCTTTAAAAAAAAATTATACCTTTTATTCAACTTACTCATTTAAATAAAACCACAGACATGTAATATTGGCATAATTATTGTAATTTATAACATCTAATTTGTTTATCTTTATTAGACAACACCCTAATATGGGTTTTTATCATTTCAGCATTTGTTTAACTTTGTATCGAGACCTGAAGATGCTTTGCATATTGTAGAAAGCGAAACCGGTCGTCTGATAGTTAAATTAAATTGATTGTGAGTAAGTCTTATTTATTATTTCTTTACCTATTTGAAATGGACTCACACAAGCAACACATTCATGATTAGAATAGAATTTATTCGGTGGGCACAGGAATGCGGAGATGAAGCTAGTTTAGACAAGAATGGTACTGTAAATAGACATAATTTCCACTATTACTCAATTTCTAATTAACACCACATTTTCATCGACAGTCAAACAATATGATCATTAAATGTTTAGGCTGGAATTCCGGGAAATTATGTCATAGGACTCTTCTTTTTCGAGGTTCAGGTAAACAGAAAATACATCTACATTTTTTTGGACAACGAATTGCCTGAATTATTGGAAGTAGAACCGTTGAACATACGTGAGGGAACATGAATATGTAAGGAAATGTGCAAGAAGGTGGCCTCAACAATCTCCAGAAATAAATAAGCTAGACTTTAGTTTCTGGGGATAAATAAGGTATATAAAATACCAGGTGCAACTAAAGAAGATATAAAAGAGAGAATTGCAAATTAGTAATTTGTTTAACATTTAATTTTATTTGTGTATTAAAACTCACTTTACTAACTACTTACGTATTTTGATATCTTATTAAATACTAACAAAGTAAGGATTAGTCTAGATTATTGTGTATTAAAAAATTACGTCGTAAAGAGTACAAAAAGAGTAAAAAATGATCTGCTCCTTTGGAATGGAAATATGTTTCAGATGTCTAAAATAAATCAAAAAAAGATATTTTTATTATTAATGAAAAATCAGAATATTGCAAGCTTATATAGAACGAATCTTTTAAAAATATATAAAGTTATAACAAGCATAATCGTGTTTCTAAAATCTGTAAAGACTTTTTATTTTATTAAGTTGAAATTTAATTATGATTATAAACAATAAAGTTAAAGCAATAAAAATATTTCAAAACAAAGGTTTAACTTGCATAACAATAATTTAGCAATTTATAAAAGAAAAATTAAAAAAGGAAAATGCTTTGAAACTACTACTGCTGAACAAGTTAGTGTCACAGTCTGCTGTTTATTATGAAATAATCTATATTTTACTCAAAGAAGTAGAAGTATATTGCTTTCTAAAGCCACTACACTGAGACTGACGAAATTTTGGAGTATGGAGCTAAAACAGTTTCCCCTCCATTTTCCTATGTCGATCTTTCGAAAGCACCTTCGTTTCGAAAGGCTGTAAGTTTCGAAAAATTAGATGAATTTTATAGTTATAAGTTTCAATATAAAGTTTAGGTTTTCATTCAAAATTTGTGCAAATTTTACTTCTTAATGTTTATAAACAATGGAGATATGATTAAAAAAAATAGTCGCTAAGTTCGTTGCTATTGGTCATAGAAGGTTTACTTTTACAGCTATCCAATGGTTGTACTTACAAATCTATAGCTTGAAAAATATAGAAGTTATTACAATTGTTTATAAGTAAAAAACATACCCCTTTTTCAAGTGTTTGTGTTGTAAATAATTTTAATGAAAACGCAATATGTATTTAACTTCTGAGATAGTTAATTTAAGTTAATTAAGTCTTAAATAATCCTACGAAATTTGCTAAATGTGTCTAGCGTTATTCATAGGGCAAGTTCAATAGTTTAAATAATTAGTCTCAGGGATAAACAAATTAAATAACTTTTAGACTGTTTGACCGATCGGGGGGAAATTTCGCATAAATTTAAAGGACGGTAATTCCTCGATGTTTTAATGTATTAATAACATTTTATTTCATTAATAAAAAAAATTTATAAAATTTATAAATTAGTGCAAAAAACTGCCTTTTTGCAAATATCTCCGTAAATTATTTATCAATTTTAATTCAAAAAACGGGAAAATGAAGATATTCTTGAAATAAAAAAATGATATAAATATTGTTTATTTAAAATATAAGGGAAAAAACTTATAGACAAAAAATCAAATTTTGACCATAAATTATTGTTTAAAAAAACGCAAGGTAAAAATAGGAGTATCTTTTCCTTTATTCGTCATCTATTTTCTATTCTCGTCTATTTTCTTCCAAAAATACATATTAGATAGGCCTACGCCACTGGAAACTGGCCTAGTTTTGAAGAAATTATTAATTTGCTAATTAACTAATCGCTCCAAAAAACAAACATGCAATTAGGCTTACCAATACATACGGTAAAGTCTGGTTTTACTAATATTTAAAAGTAGTTGTTAGGTTTCACAAAAAGCACTAAAACTCAGAAAAAACACTGATACGATGTTACCTCGTTCAAGTACACACTCTGAATCCTTGATAATTTTTAAAATAAGTTAAAATACACTTAAAACAACAAAAGTGTATAGTGGAATAGACGAGTATTACGTTTTACGAATAATGTTTTAATTGTATTAATTAATTGTATTTTAAAAATCTATTTTTTTTTCCAGAACTTTGCGAATGTATGAAATCAGCTGATCTGGTTGTTATTGAAGGAATGGCTCGTGCTGTACATACAAATTTATACACAAAGTTAACTGTAGACTGTCTTAAACTGGCTGTGCTTAAAAACGAGTGGTTGGCTCGAAATTTAGGAGCTGAGAAGTTTTCGGTGATTTGTGATTTTGACTCTGCAACTTGAATAGTAAGAGGGTACCTGATTAATAAATATTTTATTTTGAATTGTTTTTTATTTGGCTTTAAAACTAAATTACTAAGTGATTTCCTGGACACAATTAACAATCACTTTATTCAAAAATATTAATAAAAGCTAAATAATAAATTTTAGTGTAATAAAAATTTTTAACTTGGGGTTATATATACAAGGTGTCCAGAATCTCTCCTGACAAACGAAGACCGGAGATTCCCCAGATAGTTTTAAGACAATTTAACCCAATTTACATAGTTCCAAAATGCTTCCTAAATGAGCTAGAGCTATTTGAAGATGACTGCTTGTAATCAGTTTTTTAGTACCCCCAGAACGCTTTTATTTAGAAAAATAAAAACCTACAGATTTATCCTCCAGAGTTGAATCGATTCCATTAATTGAGAATTTCTAGTATCTTTCATAGGCGTCTGTTTTGGGTAGGTCAACGGGTATTTTAACGCATAACTTTTTTATCTGTACCTGTTTAAGCATCGGTAATACTAGATTATTAAATTTTCAGATATTCTAGTACTAAAAGGTACTCTTACTTTAAGTCGGTAGGATACATTGATTTCGAGAAAAATCGATTTGAAAATTTTTTGGTTTTTCGTCATGAAAGTTAAATTAATTTTTTTGTACTAGTAGGCTTTGAACTGTCAACAGAACTATAGTCTACGTTTTTCATTGTCAAACTCTTGAAAGGTAGTGAAGTTTTTTTTTCAGTTTTTACTTTGTGGCATTCATACACAATAATTTCAATTTAAAAAATGGTTTTTTCGAGGAATACGCTGATATACATTTAGTTTATTGCGAAATGAGTGTAACGCTCAAACAGTAAAATAGATACGCTGAAAAATTTCTCGATTAAGAGAAACAAGTTCCGTGTTCCCAAAAAATAATGAAACAGAGCGACATAATGATGTAACAGCACATCAAGATGTCACCTTAATGGAAGTTTAGGAAAATTTAGAAATTTTCGTTCGAACACTATGTCATGTATCCCACAATTTTAAAATCTGCCGCAAGAAATTGAAACCTCAATACTCCGGGAGTATTGGATTTTAGGAAGTGTAAGACTTCCAAATTCCAGAAGAACTGGAAGAGAGGTGATGAAAATACTAAAAATATGGCTAAGCTCAGAGCAACAAATTTAAATGGCCAAAGAGACACTAAATCTCAAGTGAGTGTTCGGGCTAGCTTCAATGCACTGGATTGTGGCTTTAAAGATATAAACAGATAGCAAGGATACTGAGCTAATGAGACCTGGTAATATCAAATGTGATACAACTAAAGAAGGTCACTGGGAATACATTTATAGAAAGAGAACAATAAGAAGAGAAAAAGAAGGGCGCCAACTCAACGATAGTTGAGATTTTGAAGTAACAAATGACCGGAAACAAATGATACTAGAGATAATAACCTGAAATCCAAAATACTGAATATTAATCTTATCTTGCTATATTATATACTGGTTAGTAGAACTGAAATAAAACTCAAAATAGTAACAATAAATATATTTATAAAAATGTGTATATCGATATATATGTATTAACAATTTACATATAATGCAAAAACTAAATAACAGTGGTAGTGGGTGTGTAAAGATACAATAGGACCAAATAGCCCCTCAACAAGCGAATAGTCACTACCACTGGCCAAATAAAGTGTGAAATATTAGTAAAAACCTAGAATAGTCCATATGGTAGCCAAAGTCTTAACACTAAAAGTTAGTAATTTAATTTAACTTAGTTCTACTAGAATGAGATACAAGTGACAGTATGGTAAAGATATCAAAATTGATAAATCTAGTACCATTTATATTATAGATAAAAAGTGAGTTGTTACATATTCCTTATATAATGTTTTAAAAACCACATGATATTTATTTCCCTCCCCAATATCAAAATTGTATTATATCAAAAATGTATTCTATTAAAAAATATATATTCAATCAACAAGTGAGTTTGGTCAGACTCTGTATATCCTATTTAAAAACCTAATAAAAACATGTAATGTATTTTCCCTACCCAATATCTTAGAATTTGATTATCAAAATTGTATTCACCTTATCATATGCATATGAAAAGTTAACAGTAAATAGAAAGTAACACAAATAGTTAAACAACTTCAAATAGTTAAACAACTTATATTAGCAACACTATAAGTCCATAGGAAAACTCCTCTTGGCACGGCTAAATTAATTCATGGTTGTGGTGACAAGTCCCATGGTTCCGGGTGACAGCAAAATCCACGGGTTACATACGCAAGTTGCTAACTATCTAAGGATTCAAAATTACTAACTAATATCCTCGAGGGAATATTTTCAAGTGACGGAATCTAAAAGAGTTATGTAATTTAATAAATGCAATTCAATAGCTGTAGCAGCGTGGATTGACTACACCAAAACAAAACATCAAAACATCAGGTATTAGGTTAGGTCAACATCATGTCAAATTTATGAAGTTACTTTCGTAGGCATGGCAAGCTTGCGCCATGAAATGAACATACGCAGAATACAGAAGGCTGAAGACCCTTTTATATTCCACCAAAAAAGTGAGAGAAAAAAGAACCAAAAACTTACTGATAAGATATGGAATAGATCGGAATTTAAGTTTGACTATATAAAAAATGACCTTATGTTCTTTGTAAGTAAATCAAGGAAATTTTATATTTAAATCATTTCGGAACTCAAAAATAAATCTCTAAAGAAATACTAAACTGCAATGATAAATTTGATTATATGATAAAGAGATAATACGTATGAAATTATTTACTTACATGGAGCCACAGCACGCCAAAAAAATCTTCCTTTTATGTGGAACTCTTTTAAATGAGTATTGGTTTTATTAGAAAAAATTACTTATTATTATTATTATTTATGAATTACCTATATATTTTTTTATACTTGTATTTATACTTGATTTTATTTGTCTCAATTCCGTCACTTTGAACGTGAGAAAAACTCACCGGTTGGCGTGTCTGAGTTTACGAGTTCTGAACAAAACTAACCGCTTCCGCACAGACTCGACCAATCTTCCTGTCAAAGCGACTCCTGCGCGTGTGTGGAAAAATGTCGATTTAAAATCGATCGCAGGCGGATCATAAGAAATTTCTTGAGGGGTTAATCAGTAGCGTAAACGCTACAAAATATCTTATACAACGAAAATTTATATCCTTGCATTTTACGAAGGTACGAGCACTGCTAAAAGGGGATTTTTTTTGTACAATTACCTTAAGTAATTGTACAAAAAGAAACAGTAGATTCAACACTTTAAAATATTACGATTGAAGCCAAATTGCTTTAATAAAATGTTGATATTAAGAAAGATACAGGGTGTTAAAGTGGAAATTTAAAATTTTAATTTTCGCTAAATAGCTTTCATGTTTGTGACTTTATATTTATTTATAACTTTACAGTTCGGTACTATCTTATCAACTAAACTAACTCATAACATCGTTACATATATATACCAAAAAGTATTATTCTCGAATCTTCTGGGGTAGTCCCACCTCTAATTCGTTGTTTGGCGCTCATATATTGCGAATGTTCTCGAAGGCCGAGATGCTGTCTCGAGATGCAACCGTTACACGGGCCACGCTTTATGCATGTTTGTAACACTGCTCCACTTTTAGATCTGAGCGTCCCGATCAGCAATTCCATATGTAGGCCCAAGATGGCGGAATCTACAGGCCTCTCCAGCTCTGCATCACCCCCTCGAGAAGAAATAACATTCTACTGATTTTGAAGGACACTATCTTTTTGGGTTAATGCAACACACAGTAATTCTTACGCCGGTTTCTCGGAAGATCACTTTAACCATGCTTTTGACAATCTTCCAATCCAGATTATCTAGGGCATGGCCTATCTTGGGTAAGGCCAAATTCTTGATGTCATAATTACAGACGATGTTCTGACGATTAGTTAGAGCACGCCATATATCCTCGTAGCTTGCCCTGTCTGTACGACTTACTGGTCACCATATACTTACCATACGACTTACTGGTCACCATATACAGCAAAGATCGAGAACCATCTTCTAATCTCAGTACTCTTCCAACTTTAGGCTGCTGGTTTTTTTAACTTGTCCAAACGACCGAACTTCTTATAAAAAAGATCTTGGGCAACATAGTGGGCTAGAAAGACGTTATACGCAACACTAAAAAGGTCTTGCTGTACTTCTGTCGTCACGCCGAATTTCACTCTTTCTATTTTAGGTTTACCTTTCAGCAACTTTTTAATTCGGTATATTACGTCATTTATTCTCTTTTTAATTTCATCCGAACCCTCCCATTGTCTTTACAGTTTAGGAGACAAGTCACGACGACGTTGTGGATTATAAAGCCAAACAAGATCACCTACTTCATAGCTTTCATTCTTGCATCGAGAATCGTATTGATCCTTCATTCTGTCCCTGGCTAACTGGATATGTTGTCGAGCAAGTTCATGAATGTTGTTCATTCTTAACTTTAGGCGGTCGACATAATCTTCGCTTGCCACATGTTCTTCAGGAGGTCTTCAGGAGGTCTGCAGCCAAACTCTAGGTCGCAGGGCAAACGAAGTTCATGACCTAACATCAGGCAGGTTGGAGTCTGGCCTGTAGTTTCATTCACGGCCGAGCGGTAGGCCATTAGGAATACATTAATGTGCTGGTCCCAATCTCTTTGATGTTCTGATACAACTTTGGACAGGTATTTACCCATCGTTCGGTTCCTTCTCTCGACCATTCCATCTTATTGAGGATGCAGGGGTGTCGTTCTGGTCTTATTGACACCAATCAATTTACAAACGTTTTGGAAAAGGTTTGACTCGAAGTTTCGCCCTTGATCGGAGTGGATCTCCAAGGGAACACCAAATCGGCTAAAGAATTGTTTAACCAGTACCTGTGCAACGGTAGCAGCATAGGCCTCAGTCTATTTCGTAAAATAGTCCATGGCTACCAGGATATATTTATTTCCATCATTTGTCTCTGGAAGTGGACCTGCGATGTCGATTGCTACTCTTTCCATAGGACTACCAACATTGTACTGTTTCA